TGGAGTTCGGAGTCTGAATGGCAGGATAACAGAAGATAGCTGATATATAAAGAGCACAGAAGTGACTGATTGGCTTGCAGAAAGTGGGCAAGAAAAGGATTAGGTCAGAATCTGACAGTGTGGCAAAGTGTAAGTGGTGTAAAGGACAGACTGGTGTCCCAAACACCCAGGAATGCAGGTATATGAATGAATGCATATCTGTTTCATTGAACATACAGATAAGCTTCATAATGTAAAACCTATTTTGATCACCAGTGGGCCGAACAAATATGAACCATAGGTCCACATTCAGTCTTCAGAGAAAGAGTGTTTCCACAGGACTCAGTACAGTCTTATGGAAAACTAAGTACACCTCATAATTCAGTAGCTCGTAAAACCACCTTTAGCAGAAACAACTTGAAGCAGTTGTTTTCTGTATGACTATCAGTCTCTCACATCACTGTGGGGGAATTTTGGCCCACTCCTCTTTACAATGTTGCATCAGTTCATTGATGTTTGTGGGCGTTTGTTTAATTACACCTCTCTTAAGGTCTTTAGACTTTGACTCTGCCATTGCAGCACCTTGTTTCTTTTTCAGACATTTAGTTGTAGATGTTATTGCAGTGTCTGGAACCCAGTTTCAGCCAAACTTTAGCTGTCAGACAGGCGGCATCACATTTGACTCTAGAATATTTTGGTATACAGAGGAGTTCATGGTCGACTCGGTGACTGCAAGGTGCCCAGGTTGTGTGACTGCAAAACAAGCCCCTCCACCACCATGCTGACAGCGGGCATGAAGTGTTTGTGCTGATATACTGTGTTTGGCTTTGTGCATTGTGGCCACACATCTCCACTTTGGTGTCATCTGTCCAAAGCACATTGTTCCTGAAGTCTTGTGGTTTGTAGCACAGCTTTGCATCAACCTAAGCTGTGCGGTTGTGTTTGTTTTACAAAGAAGCAGCTTTCTCCTGGAAGTAATGAAAGCGTCATGTGACTGTAACATTTACCCTGCTACCCGAGGACTATTGAGTCTGAGATATAGCTCTTGGATTTTTTGCAGTTTCTGAGCATTGTACGATTGGTCTGGACCTTGGGGTGAATTTGCTGGCACATCCACTCTGGGAAGACTGTGGCATTTTTCATAGGACTGTGAAGAATCCTATGAAGATGTCATTTTTTTCCACATTGTTTGACTTCCATCCTTTTTTAATTGTAAGCATGTACTATTCTGAAATGTATGAACCATTCAAAAGATGATTACTAGTACAAAATGTTCTGAAAGAATATTTCATCTACAATGAAATTTATAGACTCCACTAAATCTTCAAAAGCACAAAAGCTGAATTAAATAACCAAATTTTATGTCTATCTGTCTATTCTATTAAAAATTTCAAAATATTTTTTAGATTTTATTGGAAAAAAACATTCGATCAGAAACATGAAAAACAACCATAACAAAAAACACACCAACACTTGTCCCCTTGTCTTTTAGTCTTGAAGAGTTTTGAGCGGTCAGTGAGACTAGAAATGATATATTTAAATCCCAGGAGGGAACATCAGTTCAGGCTGATTTGCTACGTCAGTATCTGTTCACTGACTGGTCCAAAATTCCTCCCACAAAAATCTCTCTCGAGCAGAAAAGATTTGATAAATGTCAGTAAGGCTGCTAACAGAGAATCACCAAGTTACTAAATTCAAGAATTAAGTGACCAATAAGGATGTGAGAAGTACAAATGCTTGTATCTTTACAGGTTTATGCAAATGAAGAGCAGACTGCATGTCATGAGTAAACAGTACAAAAATACACATATTTCCAAAGATTTCACAGTCTTGCAACTTTAAATAAAATTGCAGCCAAAACACACCTAATGAAAGATTTAGCACATCAGCAGCAAAAGAAATCACAAAAAACTCAATGTAGTTTTAAAACATCTGTATTAGAAAGTGGTGACAAATGGGAACACAGCTGAACTGAATAATAACTAATGAGACAAAGGGAACACGGGATACCAAAATAAAACAGGAAGAAACTAAACGAGAACAGAAACACAGACTGGAAACTGACACACACACACAAAAAGGGAAACAAAACGTAGAGACAAGACTGACTACACACAGGGGACACGATTTACTAAACACAGGAGACAAAACTCTGAGATAAATGAATACTCAGTGCACGAAATACACGAATATTCAGCAAGCAAGGAATAATCGAATGAAGATTAGAAAGTCAAAAAACTCAAACACTGGGACAACCGACCCAGGACCACACACAGGCTGTTTTTACTTACTTATTTATTTATTTTTAGAAAAACAATGTTTAGATTTAAAAATACTGGTTTAAAGGGGACTGCATACTTTTGGACATCTTTACCTTTATCATCACTAAGCTGATGTTGATTCTGCACTTAGGATTTATTTTTTCATCCCCTTCCTTTTTTATCCAGTGGTTTCACTTACTCCATCAGTCACCAGAGGCTTACTCAAGCTACACAAACTTTTGAAGGCCACACTGGCTCAGTTTGGACATGACATGCTGGTTTGGCCTGTCCTTCAGGTCATCTGAGGACATTTTTTGTGCTCTTCAGAGTATCCAGACCCTGAAGTGCAGCCCAGCTTATAAAACATCAAGTTTGTTTACACAGCCTTAAAATAGCTAGTGGTCGAGCTCAAACTAAAAACATGACATTTGGGAGATTTTCCCAGGGCCGTGCAATTTGAAATGTTTAAAAATCACTCGGGTTTTACGTAAAAATGAAAGATTTGGCAGCACAAGTCACTAACTGGGTGTTATTTGAAGTTGAAGGCTGGTTTCTTTGCCATGTGGCTGAACTCTGCCTGTACTGACAGAAGTTTGCAGTTAGAACAAGGTGCGTGTACATATTTACTCAGTGTTTGGGTCATTTGACAGCCCGTGTCCTCCTACGGTCTGTCAGAGGTAGGTGATCCAGGCGTTACAGGATTGTGAAAGTGAACGATTCGTGTATTGTTTATCGTTTCGGTGTAACCACTGTCAGCATGATATATCATGGTGTTTTGTGCTAAGCGAGGGGCTTGTTTCGGCACACCAAATCCACTCCTTGTGAACTTTTTGCCTG